ACTGAGAAGCTTCTGTAAGACAAAGGACATAGTCAACAAGACAAAAAGGCACCCCACAGAATGGGAAAAGATATTCACTAACCCCGACATCTGACAGAGGGCTGATCTCCAAAATTTACAAAGAACTCAAGAAGCAAGTCTCCAAAACACCAAAGGATCCAATCAAAAAATGGGGTACAGAACTAAATAGAGAATTCTCAAAAGAGGAGACTAAAATAGCTGAGAGACGCTTGAAAAAGTGCTCAACATCCCTAGCCATCCGGAAAATGAAAATCAAAACAACTCTGAGATACCATCTCACTCCTGTCAGAATAGCTAAAATCAAAAACTCCAATGACGGTTTATGTTGGAGAGGATGCGGAGAAAGGAGAACACTCCTCCACTGCTGGTGGGAGTGCCGACTTGTACAGCCACTTTGGAAATCAGTATGGAGATTCCTCAGGAAAATGGGAATCAGTCTACCACAAGACCCAGCAATTCCACTCTTAGGCATATACTCAAAAGATACACATTCATATACAACAAGGATGTCTGTTCTACTACGTTCATAGATAGCAGCATTATTTATAATAGCCAGAACCTGGAAGCAACCTAGATGCCCCTCAACTGAAGAGTGGATAGAGAACATGTGGTACATATACACAATGGAGTACTATTCAACGGAAAAAAAAAAAACAATGGGCTGGGCGTTGGTGGCGCACGCCTTTAATCCCAGCACTTGGGAGGCAGAGGCAGGCGGATCTCTGTGAGTTCGAAGCCAGTCTGGTCTATAAGAGCTAGTTCCAGGACAGCCTCCAAAGCCACAGAGAAACTCTGTCTCGAAAAAAAAAAACCAAAAAAAAAAAAAATGGAATCTTGAAATTTGCAGGCAAATGGATGGCACTAGAAGAAACCATCCTGAGTGAGGTAATCCAGTCGCAAAAAGAGAAACATGGTATGTACTTACTCGTTTATGGATTTTAGACATGAATCAGGGGAGTGCCAGCATACAATCCCACTGCCAGAGAGTCTAGGACACAGAACCTTCATCCAGCGACTGATAGAAGCAGAGGCATACACCCACAGACAAACACTGAACTGAACTCCTGGAATCCAGTGACAGAAAGAGAGAACTGATGGGCAAAGGGGTTAAGACTGGGCTGGTTTAACCCACAGAAACAGCTGACCTGAACAAGGGGGAGCTCTTGGACTCCAGACTGATGGCTGTGTGGAAAGCATGGGACTGAACCAGACCTCCTGAATGTGGGTGTCAGTGAGGAGGCTTAGATAATCTTTGGGGCCTTGGGTAGTATTTATCCCTGGCATACAAACAGACTTTGAGTGCCCATGCCACAATATGGGAGGCTCTCTCAGTCAGGACTCTTGGGGGAGGGCCTAGGCCCTGCCCTGAATGAAATGACAGTTACTGGAGATCCACCATGGAGGGCCTCACCCTCCTTGGGGATCGGAGTAGAGATTGGGTGGGGGACTGGGGGGCCTGGTGGGGACGGTGGAGGAGGAGGGGAGGAGGGGAGGGAGAGAGAGCTGGGATTGACATGTGAAACAAGATTGTTTCTAACCTAAATTAAAAAAATAATTAAAAAAAAAGAAAACACACAAGCAATTAAAATGTAAGTTTTTAATTTACCCAACAATTCAAGGTAGGTGAGCATTTTAAGACAAAACAAGAAAGGCCAAATGACTTTCTCAACATCACAGAGCTAAACATAAGGGTACCACAGTGCAGGGGCTGAAAACACCTCCACAATCATTAGGCCATCCTTACAGTATAAACCCTGCATGATGTGCCTGGAAGCACTTCACACAGCCCTGGTTTTGCAGGGATAGAGCAAGGAAAGGGCCTTTAATGTCCAACAGTGTCTGTCCTAGCCTGCATTGGACCTTGCTGCATTCAAAAGCCCAGCGAGTCGCATAGCTGCTTTGGCAAGAAAAAGTCTTTTAGACCAAGAAAATGGTCTCTAGGAGATATTTAAATCTCTTCCCCTTATGAGGCAAAATCAGATTTGAAATAGCAGGATAATCTAGTTTTCATGAACTATAAAGAATGGGAAAGGCTTCCTTAGAAGATTAAATTTTCTCTTGTGTATCCCATGATACTCTCTGAACCACTTTCTCACTTAACTACATGAACTAACTAACCTCTGGGGACCAACACAGCAGTCATTCTTCTTTTGCTTATTTCTTATTTACTCGTGTGTGTGTGTGTGTGTGTGTGTGTGTGTGTGTGTGTGTGTGTGTAAAACTTCAGGTCAGAAGAGCTTGACACACCCCCTGGAGCTACAGTTAAGGGCAGTTATGAGTGGCCTGACCTTGGTCCTCTGGAAGAGCAATAAACACTTTTAAACACTGAGCCAAATTTCCAGGCTCTTGTTTATCTTCTTGTGATAATGACTTATTTTTAATTATGTGTACATACATGTTGGGGGAATATGTACACATGTAAGTACAGGGGTCCTCAGAGTCCAGAAGAAGGTGTTGGATCCTTTGAATCTGGAGTTATAGGTGATTGGGAAACTCCCAATGTGAGTACTGGGAGTAGAATTATAGTTCCTATAAATAGAAAATTAGCCTTTCCATTAATCATAATTGGGTAATGTTTTGCAGTGACTCCCCCCACACACACACTTAATGCTTGACTCTGAACATATATATAAACAAAAATTTCGCTTAATATTTGTCCCCCTAGCATGGTAGCTCATGATTTTAACTCCAGTATTGGGAAGGCAGAGGCAGGAGGATCTCTGTGAGTTCAAGGTCAGCCTGGTCTATATAGTGAGTTCCAGGCTAGCCAGGAATACACAGAGACCCCATCTCATAATAAAAAAAAAATCAGCTTGTAGCTGGACATGACAGCATACACCTGTAATTCCAGTTCCAAGAAGGAAGAGGCAAGAGTATCTCTGCATGTTCAATGTCAGCCTGGTATGCACCATGAGCTCCAGGCTGCCCAGGACAGTCTCCCAAAATAACAAGGACCAAGAACCAGAAAGATGGCTCCGTGAGTAAAGGTACCAGCCCTCAAGCCTGGCTAACAAAAAATGTGATACCTGGACCCCACATGGTGGAAGGAGAGAACTGATTCTTGCAAGTTGTTCTCTAATCTCCACAGGAATTTGAGCACATTGGCCTGTTCTCTCTCTTCTCTGTCTCTCTCTCTCAAACAAACGCATGCACACACGCACACAATGTTTAAAATATATCTAAAAACAAAGTTAACAGCACTTTAAAATTAACAAGTAGGCTGTGGTGACACATGCTTATAATCCTAGCACCAGGGAGGTGAAGACAGGAAGACTGTCTTAAAATAAATAAATAAATAAATAAATAAATAAATAAATAAATACTAAAAGTAAAGGATTGGGACAGGCGGCCACATAAAAAATGTGTACCCTTAAAACTTCTATTATCAGACTAGAGAAATGGCCTCAATGGTCAAGAAAACTTCCTGCTCTTCCAAAGGACCTGGGTTCAGTTTTCAGCACCCGCATCGCAGCTCACAACCATCTGTAACTCCAGGTCCAGGGGATCCGATGCCCACTTCTGGCTCACAGACACCAGACACACCTTTGGTGCACAGATGTATATCTAGGCAAAAACACTCACACACATTAAAAAGAAAAACAAAACAAAAAAAACTTTAAAATTTAAAAAACCTTTTATTTTCATTTTGGGGATACTGAGAGGGAGAAAGTGGTCAATGCACTCACTACACCATCACAATGAGCTCATTAATACAGACGTTAATAACAAGCAGAGTAAGAGTTCTAACTTTTGTGGTTTTTATTGTTTGAAAGAGAATCTCACTTAGATGAGTCTGGCCTAGAATCTGCTGCATAACCAAGCTCGACCTTGAACTTCTGATCTTTCTGCCTCCACTTCCCAAGAGTGCTGCCATTACAGGTGCTTACCACTTCCTCCGGGGTGCTGAGGTTGAGACCAGGACTTAGTGCATGCCAGCAATCACTCCATCAGCTACACTACATCCATCCCTTAGCCTTTGTAATTTATAAAAAGATGTACTTCACCAAAATAAACTGGTTTTATAATAAAATACAAGCAGCCCTGAATACATGTCATCATTTTGAAGGCACTATGGCATAGCAGCAGCAGCAGCAAAGAAATCTGGGCTTGAAACCCAGGACACCACTCTGTCCCTATACCCAAAGGACTGCATAGTGTCTTAGCTTCCTCGCCATTAAAAGGAGTGGATCACACCTACCAGGCATGGTTAAAAGACTAAGAAATGTGTATACATATACAGCCACCAGCAAAGGGTGGGTATTTTTCTCATTAGAATATAACATTCCTGCAGAGACAGTAACGTAAATCTTAACTTAGTATTTCTGTACAGGCCTGATTGGTTTTCTCAAAACCAAGGAACTGTAATCAAGTACGGCGTTGAGAAGACAAAACACAGAGAGAGCAGAGTATTGCCTTGATTGCCTTAGAGTCTACTGAAGAGCACGTGCAGGGCAAGAAGTGACCCAACAGTTAGGAGCACTTGCTGCTCTAGGGGAGGACTCAGACTGGGTTCCCACCACCCACATAAGGTCCACCACCCACCCAGTTTACATCTGCCATAACTCTAGTTCCTGGGGATGTTGTGCCCTCTTCTGGCTTCCACAAGCACCTGCACATATGTGGCACACACACACACACACATACACACACACACACACACACACACAATAAAGGCAGGGCATGGTGGTACAAACCCTTAATCCCAGCACTTGGGAGGAAAAATCAAGCAGATCTTTTTGAATTTGAGACCAGCATGGTCTACATATTGGGACCCTATCTCAAATAAATAAGTTAATCTACAACACTGGAAGACAGAGACAAGTGGACCTCTCTGAATTTGAGGCCATCCTAATCTACATAGAGCCGTATGAGACCCTGTCTCAAAAAAATAAATAAATAAAGTAATAAGAAAAAGTATTTTAACCTTGAACAAAGTCCACAAGTCCACCGAAACTGTAAACACAGGATGGGACTCTTACCAACTTTGCACCAACTGTACTGATGGCGTCCTGAGAAGATTGTCTGGAAGAAGGCTTATTTCTTTCATTATATTTGCCAATCTAACAGGCAACTCTTGTCGCAGAAACATAAATGAGGTCTTTTCACAAGCATTTACCGATCCTGAAACCAAGCACAGTGGAAAAGTGGTAAGTACAAGGCACACGCTCTCAGGAGCCAGGAAGTGAGAGGAAAGGGGAGTCACTTGGCAAGGGCATGATGGTAGAATTACCAAAGTGAAGCAAAGGGATATCCAGGCAAGGCTGAGCTAACTGGCCTACAAAGAAACTCTGACGCCAGTATGACGCTCCATTTCCTGTATTCCAACCATTCAGTAGGTACTTTGTTAAACTTTACACTTACTATCCATTTCAGGATTACGATAAATTGAATGCTTTAAGGCGTGGGGCCTATGAGTAGAGGTGAGAAAAGCCCATTCTATGTGCCCACTGCTGTTACCCTTTAGAAATTCTGATCCCTGACTCTGGGTAAATTTTGACCAGGTATGTCAAGATTGACTAGACAAATACCAATCACCAGAATAGAATCAATACAAACAAGGTTTTCAGGCAACGGGGGCAAAGACCACCAGCAGTCAGCAGCCATCAAGTAGAACCTACTCCAGTGTCTGACTCCTGGGAAATTCACCTGCCCTTCTCCACTCTTGAATCCAGATGTTTGGCAGCTTCACTTACACTAAAGTCATATTGCAGCAATCCGTTTGAAACTAATTCAATCTTGCAGACGAAACCCTAGCAGAAACTATCTTGTCAACAGTAGAAGTATTATTAAGGAAAACATCTTGCAAAAGTTTAATCCACGAACAAGGTGAACAAGGTACCGCACCACAGTACAGGCATTTAAAAACAACAGCAAAACAAAACAAAACACACTCACACACACAAAAAAACGGGACCTTGTGTACTCACTTGAAAAACAAATACAAGAAAACCACCTGTCACTGCAAACCACAATTTTAAGATAAAGCATCCTGCCAGCCATGCCTCTTATCTCCCATGCCTGCCAAACATGTTATAACGTGACAACACGACACAGAGACAACTTGTTTTACTCCAGAACTTTTGAATTTCGATGTAAGAATTTGTATTAAGCATCTGCGTCCCTGCCCCTGCCCCTGCCCCTGCCCCTGCCCCGTTACTCATGATGAGACGTCAAAGGCCTAATTCTGCAGTTCCTTCTGCAATTCTGTATCACACAGACAAGACATGCACTTTACTCCTGCTTGAAGCTGACTGCTGATGAAACGAACTTGTTCTCGGTGGAAACAGTGGCGAGGAAAGAACTGGGCCAGTAGTAACTTGTTTTCCTGCCATCACGCCACTCTAGGCGATCATCGATGTGCTGGCACTCATCTTGCCTCTGCAGAACGCCACCCTCGAAGCAGTGTGCGCTCTGGCCTTGAACCTGAGCAAGACTGCCCGGAAGACACCGAGTCCCGAGCTCGTACCTGCGCACGTGCGCGCAAGGTTGCAGCCCGCGGGGGCCCCCAGCTTTGTTTTTCTCGCACACTACGGTCTCAAACCCCGGTTACGTGCCCGGCCTGCCAGCTCCCGCACCCTCCGGGGAGGAAGGAAGCACCTAAGACACAAGGGGAGGCGACAAGAGGGAGGAGGGGTGCGCTTGGGAGGACGGGGCCCGCACACGAAAGCCCGGCCGCCCTCACCGAAGTCCAGGAACTGCTTCATGGAGAGCGGCGACGGCGAGAAGCGCGCGTAGAAGTCCACCTGGCCCGGAACGCCGCGCTCCGACTCCGGCCCGGGGCCCGAGGCCGAGCCGGAGGCCAGACTGCGGCTGGCACTGGGGACCTCGCGGGGCAGTCTGACGCCCCGGCCGCCACGAAGCAGCCTCACCAGCCTCATACCGAGCCCTGCCGACGGAGCCGAGCGCCCGGCGCCAGCCTGCAGCTCTGAGCTGCAACCGGGGCGCTACGTGCGGGACGTGGCGGGCCGCGGAGGCGGGGAGCTGCTGTCAGCGCCACGGCCACCGCCCCCTCGCAAGAGCCACGCCCTCGTGGGCGGAGCCCCGAAAGGATGGAGGGGGGAGGAAAAACAGGGTGCGCTAACCAAAACGCCTCCATGCAATGTGGGAGTGTCCTCGAGAAGACGAAGTCCGGAGAAGAAAACAGGGAGCGCTAGCCACAGCCCCTCAGTGAAGCCACACCCCTTCTGAGCTGATCCCCGGGAGGACGGAGGCGGAGTAAGGGAAAAAGGGAATGCAGCTCAAAGCAACCGGGTGGGGCCGCCGAAACCACCGGGAACCAGCGGCCACGATATAGACTAGCACTCTGGAAGACAGGGCTCGGTGAAGATTTTGCTAATTCCCAGGGAGCCCGAGGGTGTCTAACCGGATCTTATGGTCTTGTTCGCACTTTGGTGCACCTCTTCGCACGCCCACTTTCCTACTTTTCCCTCCCGGTCGCAGCCGAAAGAAGCGAGGACCTGCGCGGTCGCTGGCAGTGAGTCTATTACAGAAATGTCCCTGAATCTTGCAAGCCCCACGATTTACGTGTGAAGACTCGGAGAGCTTCAAGAGCTCACGCTAGCCTGTAATAAAAGAGTTGAACTTGGGGAAATGGCTCTAAATAATATCACAACGACCACAGTCCCCAAAAGAGTTCATAGGCAACCCACCTTGAAATACTTTCTGCGAGCAATCTTGCACAGTACTATAAACCTCTCTTCACTCTCTGCCTTTCGGTTAACTCATTATCTTAAAGTCACAATGTGTCTGCTCCACCTTTTCAATGTCTAGAAAGTGAATCCAGGATTAGAGTATGCTTAATATATAATTCTACAGAACTGCATATGCAGTTCCTCCTTTAAAAAATTACTTGTCTTCTCCACTGCTACTTCCCCATACAACACACCAACATCTGCTGTGTCTTAGGTGCAAGAAAATTATTCTGTTATGAGTGTATGTTGTAGGAATTTAGCAGTCGCTGTATCTGGGGTAGACAGCAGAATGAATAGTTTTCACTGTATCCTGGGTAAACATTGGAGTGAATAGCTGTTTTTTGCAAGTACTTTGACCTTGAAGAATCATTGTGGAAAACAGTGATTTGTAGAATTATCTGAAGGGGCATTGCAGCCTTCCCACGACTTTGGTTAGAAGATGCCTCTAGCAACCTGGGGCTCTTAGATTATTGTGTATTGCAAATGATACACAATAAAGGACTAAAGTCATGAGGACAGTGATATTCTCCTTTAGAGAGACATAGAGATTAGATAGGACGTTGGTATGAGGAAATACTTTACCCAAAACCAACTTTGTATAACAATCAAAAAATACATCTTTGTACAGTTGTTCCGGGTTCAATCCGGGTTCAATCCATCAGAGAGGCTGAACCTTCCTGCTGTCACATAGACCTTAAAATTTCATCTTGGAGTCCCTCTTTCCTCAACTGGCCTATGTTATATCTTAAGAGTTGCTAAGAAATTCCCCTCCTCTCTCTGTTTTGATGAATCAGCAAGTGAGATACTTCAACCACACTCCAGGATAAAGAGCCCCTTCCTTTCTGTGTCCCCTTCCTTTTCCCTATCTTTTCTGTTTCAAACCCACTTACGTCTCTGAGGCTACTATCTGAGTACATCAAGATGCTGAAATGACATTAACTTGTGTGAGAGCACAATGGAATAGCAGAAACAATCATCTTTGTTTGTTTTATGTTTGTGATATATGTCCGTGCATATTTGCATGTGTGTCTATGTGCACATGCGCACACACATGTGCCTGTGGAATGCAGAGGTCAGCCTTGGATGTTATTTTCTATTGCTCTCCACCTTATTTTTGGGGACATAGTATGGTGATATATTGTTTATGATTTAATAAAGATTGCCTGAAGGATCAGAATGCAAAGCCAGTCACAATAGCTAGCTATAGAGGCTAGGCAATGGTGGCACACACCTTTAATCCCAGGACTCAGGAGACAGAGATAGATGAATCTCTGTTAGTTCAAGGCTACATTAAGCTACATGAAAATGATTCAGTCTAAAAGAGAAATATCTCACACGAGGGAGATCTCAGCACTTGGGATCCCATGCCTCTAATCCCAAGATTTTAGAGGCATTCAGTCTGAGAATTAGTCATTAGCCATGTTGAGGAGAGCATAGCAGTCTGGGTGAATTTGAGGGACAATCTGAGGATCGCCCCTTTGGTCTGAGCATAGGTAGAGTAAGAGCTAGTGGCCGGCTGCTTTGTTTCTCTGATCTTCAGCTTGAAGCTTGAACCCCAATATCAGTCTCTGGATCTTTTAAAAATCATGTTGCGACATGGTCTCACACCAAACATGGAGCTCACCAATTTGGCTAGACTAGCTGGCCAGCAAGCCCCAATGATCCTCCTTTCTCTGATCCCTAGAGCTGGAATTACAGGCAACACTCAGCTGTAGACACCTTTTTATGTGGGTTCTGGGGATCTGAACTCAGATCCTTATGTTTGGATGGCACACCCTTTGCCAACTGAGACATCTCCCTAGTCCCAATTACCTGCTTGGGGGTTATATTGTGAAATGTTATATTAGATATTATTATTATACATTATTTATCTATTTTAGTGTGTACCCTTGGGGACAGTGTCAGGAGGATGGTAGTAGGAAGGGTGTCATGGCATATTTGTAGAAGGTAAGAGGACAATTGGCAGGGACTGCTTCTTCTAGTGTGTGAGTTCCAAAGATCAAGCTCCGGTTACTAGACTTGACAGCAAGCACCCTTACCCACTCACCAACTCACCAGCTCCATCTCCTGTTTCATAAAGTGATTTTTCTCCTCTCCAAAGTACATTCTTTATGCTTCCACCGATATATAGAAAACGAGCATGTAAGGTCATACATAGTTTGTCAAATTTTCTCCCCTCCTTCTCTCTTGTCCCCTTAACTTTTGCTTCTTATTCAAGAAGCTGTCCTGAAGCTAAAGATTGACATTACACAAGTGCTGTATTATCTGTCCATGTGTGTGTGTGTGGGGGGTTGTGTAATCATTCTTTAAAGTTCTATACTTTTTCTTTTTGAGACAGGGTCTCACTATGGATGAGACTCAAGAGATTCACCTACCACAATGCCCGGGGTCATACTTACACTGCCCCTAACACCACCATGCACACACACCTTAATTTAGCAGACTTGAGCCAGACTCTAAATTCACCAAGGATTTATGATCCATGAAGGACTGGTTTAGCAGAAAAGCGTGGGGATGCAGTGGAAAACAAGCTTGACAGTATCACCCTGTCCCCAGCACCCTCTGGCTTCATAGCGCTGAGAGTACAAAAGGAGAGAAAGGTCACTCATTCCCTGTCCCTTCCTGCTGGCCAGCTTTGTGTTCCTCCAGAGTGGCCACAATTCCCAGTGGCTTAACTCAGCTCACACCCCTAAAAATAGTCCCTTCACCAAATCCTGTTCCATTTCCCTTCTGAGTGTGCTGTCACTTCCTGCCTGAGGTGTCTGTTTAATGCACTAGAAAAATAATTTCCAAGAAAAGGATAGAAATTAAGATGATCACATAGCAATAAATTACCACATGTCACACTCCTCATTTACACGCTAATAGGTTGCCATGTGTCACACTCGTTTGCACACTAACAAATTATCATTGTCATACTTCTCATTTACATACTAATAAATTACCATGTGTCACACTCCTCATTTACACGCTAAAGTTATCATGTGTCACACTCCTCGTTTGCATACTAATAAACTGCCACGTGTCACACTTTTCATTTGCACACTAATGAATTACCACGTGTTACACTAACACACTAATACATTATCACGTGTCACACTCATTTGCACACTAATAAGTTACCATGTGTCACACTTCTCACTTACACACTAATAAGTCACCATGTGTCACACTCCTCACTTACACACTAATAAGTCACCATGTGTCACACTTCTCACTTACACACTAGGTCACCATGTGTCACACTCATTTACACACTAATAAGTTACCATGTGTCGCACTCCTCATTTACACACTAACTAAATGAAGACACCAGAAAACAGCAATGACTGTCTCACCAATCCTAAGAATTAAGCCAGAGTCAAGGAATATGACAAAGAATTTGCAAAGGTTGCAAAGTGACTTTTGCTGGGAAGCAACAAGAGTGGTTCCCAGACTAACAGGTTGATTTTTAGGATCTGTTTTCTACAGTTTACGGAGTTATGAAACAGCTGGAAGACAATCAGTTATCTGAGTGGGGAGGAGGTGTTGCCTTACAGAATATCTAGCATTTCAGTTTTCACCACAGCATGAGCCTTCTTACCAGGAAATGTCTGGTGGGAGAGGCCTGAATTCTGAGAGCTGTCCTCTGGCCTTCTCACAGATTCCGAGCATGTGTGCTTACATGTGCACCTGCATGTTTGTACACATACAAATAAACAGGTAAATAAGAAATAAATTTAATTTAAAAATAGAAATGCATAAACCACGAACTTGGCCACATTAAAAACATAAAGCCTTGACTTGAGCAGGTAACAATTATGAATTGAACAGATCCATTATACATGCAACTCCAGGCTCCACAGAAGGAACAGAAGGGAAAGCAAGATGATAGTGTGTGTGTGTGTGTGTGTGTGTGTGTGTGTGTGTGTGTGTGTGTTTTAAAGAGTCTTCAGTGGACAGTTGGCTTTTGTAGAGTGCTCAGTGGAGGTGTGGCTTCTCTTCAGGAGATTTAATTCACAAGTGAGACCATAACTCAACAAATAAACAAATGAAAATAAAAATCCAAGCTAAACAAAAAAATGTAAGCCAACATGAGAGACTGTGGCTTAGAAGCATGGGTTTAGGTTGCCTTTGATACAGGGATGAGTAGCCCTGGAGGCCCCTGAGAACGGACCTCATCTCCGGTTTCCCTGAAAGGGAAGCTTCACAATTGTCCCTCCATACCATATGAAAAAATTGAGGTAGGTGCCAGGGCTTACCTTGAGGCTCATTAAGGTAAGGCTGCTTCCTCCTGATCAAATGGATATCTGAGTT